TACCACAGGTTAACAAAAATATACTTCCTAGTATTAAAATTCTGTATATTACGGGTGCACAAAAAGAAATCACGCAAAACATTGAGTCCAGTTTTCTCCCAATTTGAAGATGTTTCCGCATTTTGTAAGAAATATCAGTTGTAAAGAGTTTTCTAACTCTTTTACTTAACTGACAAATCAAACCAAAAGAACCCAAGCAACTAAACAATGTACTTACATTTTAATTCAACATTAACTTTTCAAACCTAATTATCTTTTAAGAAAAAACACCTATACTCCACATTCATAACCATTTCACTACTGATTGTGTAACAAGGAATCGCAGCTATTTACACTTATCCCCACCATGTGGTGGAATTTGATGCAATTTGCCAGAAACATTTATTTTCTTGGTGGACCAAAAGTAACAAAATTGGACATTTAGACCATATTGCAAAAAATATTTTCTTTTAATTATGTAATAGCTCTCCCAATTTGAGGAAGTACCAGAGGGTCTTGGTCATCTAGTGCTACTATAACAGAAATATCACCAGAGGATGGTTTTAACAAAGAGAAGTTTATTTCCTCACAGTAAAATAGGCTAGAAGTCCAAATTCAGGGTGTCAGCTCCAGGGGAAGGCTTTCTCTCTCTGTTGACCTTCTCATCAATGTTCCCCCGGACTAGGAGCTTCTCTGCGCAAGGACCCCAGGTCCAAAGGACGTGCTTTGTTCCTGGCACTGCTTTCTTGGTGGTATGCAGTCCCCCTGTCTCTCTGCTCACTTCTTTTGTATCTCAAGAAATTGCCTCAGGACGCAATCCAATCTTGTAGATTGAGTCCTGCCTCACTAACACAACTGCAGCTTATCCTCCCTCATTAACATCATAGAGGCAGGATTTACAAAATGTAGGAAAATCACACAATACCGGGGATCATGGCCCAGTCAAATTGATACACAGATTTTTGGGGGGACATAATTCAATCCATGACAGGGATGATACATATTTTCTATCGAAATGACTTAATTCATGATGAAACTTGATCCAAGAACAGCCATGCTGGTTTCTAGAAACACGTAAACCCCTGCTTCACTAGTCTTTGACATTTGCCCAGGAGCTTGTCCTTGAGAATAAGCCTATAAGATTCCCTGATACAAGTCCTCACGGGAAGCCTTAGTAGAATGGAGGGAGGCACTGGATAGGAGATTCTCATCTATTAAAGTCACACGTGAAATACGGCTCCCCGAGAACAAGGCAGATTGATTGTCAGGATCGTGGACTAAAGGAAATGCCTGACAAGTCCCTGACACCAATAAACCCAGGGCTAGTTCCTTTTATTGCTAGGATGCTGACAGGTTTCAGCAGAGCTTTGACTAAGACTAGGAAGAAAGGTCTGGCAATCTACATCAGAAAATCAGCCAATGAAAACCCTATGGCACATTACGGTCTGATCATGGGGATGGTGCAGGACCAGGCAGCATTTTGCTCCACTGTGCATGGGATGCCGTGAGTCAGGGGCCAAGTCCATGGAAGTTAACAACAACAGTTCATTTCAAGGCTTTTCCCCCTCTCAGATTTTCTATATTATTGGTTGATAAGGAACACTTATTTCAACCTTGTTTATAAGACCGCTACTTCACACCTTGGCAGTGTGCAGAACAGGGTTCACAGAGCAGGCCTGGGCTGGCGTCCTGCCCTGAGTGGTCCCGACAACAGGCGATGCAAGCGGCTGTGCCTACATGGTGCAAATTATGTGCTTTATGCTGAACTCCCACTTACCTTCAGGAGTCTGGAATTCTGGTATGTGCTAGGTGGGGGTAGCTAGATGACCAGCACCTGATAAACACCTGCAGGCCGAGCTCTAACGGGCTCCCCTGGGCAGAAACCTCCCACACGTGTGGCTGCACTTTCGTTGCTGGGGGAAGAGTGTGCTGTGTGTGGAAGGGAATGGGCAGAAGGGAGCCTCCAGGGACACCGCCTGCTTCCTCCTCATGGTCTGCTGTGTCCTCACCACGCCACTAGGATGAATCTCAGCCCTGCTGAGTCCCGTGAGCCCTTCTAGCCAATCTCCCAACTGAGGGGTGATTTCAGGGACTCTCGACACAGGCCCTTATGCAGCTCCCCAAAATGTTTAACTATTAGTTGGTAACTTATTTGTATTCCGCGAACTGAACTCCCAGGAGATTTACTGTCTGTGAGTTCACAAACAACAGACCAACAAAGACCCTCTGTGAGAAGCCAAAGCCCAGGTTTTTTCAAGCTCTGGTCCGGGAAACCCTGGTGGCGGGGGATTCTTCATACTCAGAAACAGCTGTGATTCAATAAAGCTTGCTCTAGGTCTACCCAATTTTAACATATACAATATGAAACTCAATAAAAGAGCATCACACCCATACGAGACCAAGGCTTTTATTTATCTAGAGGTGTGAAGGTGAAATTATTTGATCAAGCATAAAAATGAAAGACTTTCATTGTCACATCTCGTTTTTAACTAAATGCTAAGAATTTAAACAATGAGCTTTAAAAGGATTTGGAAGTCAGCTAAAGAGCCCACCAAGAGCAACCCTATTTATACACACACAAACTGAGTAAAAACATAACAAAAACCAAAAAACAAACAAATGTGAGCACAGGACATGAAGGGGACAACACAGCACATAGCAGGTGGGGTGCAGCTGGGGGACGTCGTGTTCTGGATTGATCCAACAGAGCACCTGACTCCGTATTTCATGTCCCTTCTGACAAGGACCACTGGGAATCCCACCAGTGGCAAGAAGATGCTGGGGCTTCCCTGAATTAAAATACAAAGTGTCATTAACAGACACTATGGAAACTCTTCCTGCCAGGATGGTGCGCAGATCCACAAGAGCAAATGGGACAAGAGCCTGGCAGAATGAGCGGCTTGGAGTGTAGGACACAGCTTAAGCTTTGGTATGGCAGGCAGCCCTGTAAGATGGCCCCCAATGCTCACGGTCTCCTGGTATTCACGCCCTTGTGTAGCCCCCTCCTTGCTTCTAATGAACAAAATATGGTAAAATGACAGGAAGTCACTTCCAAGATTCAGCTACAGAAGACTTCACTCTCAATTATCCATTAAAAAAACTGCTCAGGCATGTTCATTTTATCGTTAGATTTTCCACTCTTTTAACTGTTTGATTTACTGGTTTCTGAAAGAATGTTACCAAAATCTACAAATACAATTGTTAAAAAAAAAAAAAGACTGCACTCTCTCTGGCTTTCTCACTTGCTTTCTCTGATGAAGTGGGCTGCCTATGGAAGGGTCCACGTGGCAAGGAGCTGAGGGCGGCCTTCGGCCAACGGCCCACCACAAACTTAGGCTCTTAGTTCAACAGCCCGAGGAACCGAATCCTGCCATCACCAGTGAGTGGACTCGGAAGTGGGTCCTCTCCATCGAGCATGGGGATGATTACAGCCTCAGCTAACACTTTGATTACACCTCGTGAAAGATCCTGAGCCCAAGGACCCTGCTAAGCTGTGCCCAGATGCCTGACCCACTGGAAGTGTGAGTTACTAAGCGTGTGCTGTTCTAGGCTACTAAGTTTTGGGGTAATCTGCTATACTGCAGTACAAAACGAATACATCAGGGTAAGTAATAATGTGCAACACTTACAAATTAGTCATATAGGGTGAATGAAGCCAACGGAGCTTGTCTTGACTACAGGAAAGAAAACCAAAACTTCACGAGCTGCAACAAGAGAGTACAGTGTTCCCCTCAAATGACATTTCTCCAAGAATTCTAGCAGGGCTTTCTGACGCCCTGCACTTGCCATCAAATATCTGAAAATCAAGCTCTGTAACATTTCTTCAGATTTGTAAGCCAGCTATAAAATGTCTGGCAGCCTTTAAAAAAAGAATACATTATTTGTTCTCCTGGCTGAACTGACTTTGCCATAAAACTCTTGATTTGTACAGTTAAATATCACATTTAAAAGTGAATGCTTCCATTTATAGGAAATGTCCAGAACAAGCAAATCCACAAAGCTAGACAGTAAATTAGTGTTGCCAGATCAGAGGGAGGGAGAATGAGGGGTGACTGCTAAGGGTACAGGGTTTCTTTTGGGGGTGATGAAAATGTTCTGGCATTAGACAGCAGTGATGGCTGTAAAACCTTGTGAAAATCTAAAAACCACTGAATTGTACACTTATGAATGGTGCATCTTACGGTACATGTATAGATCTCAAATTAAAAGTTTTTTGAGTGAGTGCTTATGAAGGAAGGTTAACATTTCCATTTAGGCATCTCCCCAAATATTTACACTCCATTCTCTGTTATCTGCACAGAGTGGTGTCCATTATAGGAGGCAAGTGATACAGCTGGCCACCATGTTGCCAATCTCACCAAGGGTAGAAATCTGCATTTTCCAGGAAAATGACGAACAAAAGTCCTCCTCCAGTAGACGTGTTTTGATTTTTAAAATTTATTTTTGTTCACTTACAGATATGAGACTCACATTTTTAAGACTTAAAACAATTCTTACATCATTTTGTAATACAGGTAGTCCCTGACTTAAGCCATAGTCAAGTTATGAGGAACTGCACTTATGATTGTTTTTTTTTATACATCTTATCATTAGTAATATGTACTGCATACGATGTTGCAGCACATAATTTGCTGATGTTATCATTCTCATGCTAACCTCCAAAGACAAAGATCGAATTTATAAAGATACTGATAATAAAAGGCAATAATGATGAAAACTAAAAAAAAAAAAACGAGGTATTCGACTTAAGTCAGAGCCGACTTGCGATGCTGTCGTTGGAACACAACCCTGTCGTGAGCTGGGGACTACCTGTCCTTCACTGTAGTTCCCGGCTGTGAACGACAAGGTAGGAACACCTACTGAACGAAAACATTTAAAGAGGAAAAAAGTGCAAATCTTTTCCAAGTGAAGATTTCCATTTCAGCATCTTGGTATTTATTTCAACGTCCTTTGCAGACACGTATGTGGGGTGGCATATGCTCTCTATTATTACATAGCAAAACACACCCCATACTCCGCACCCAGCAAGAATCTTTCTATGACATACGTCCTAGTATTTTAAATCGAGGCAGGATCTTTCAACGGGAACAGGGGGGAGAAGAAAACATTTACCTTCTATGCCATGATTAAAAGGGACTGGAGACGGATGAACTGAAAAACAACATCTCTGAACATAATCAGTAGACCAGGTTTCCCTTATTCCACTTATTGTAAGTATCTAGCGTCTGTAAACTTGAATACCGACTCTGGCTGATTCAACAGTCTTAATTCTTTGATTTCCGTCCTGAACATCGTCCGACACGGAGGGGAAATGAGTGGCGGCCTCTCCCAGCACACGGGAAGAAGTGTGCCCCTCACTGGCACCCTGGTCAAATACTTCGGTAGTCGGAGCCCCGGGCTACAATGGCGGCAGCTTCCCATTCCACAGCGAAGAATGAGATAGTTCCAAAAAAGCCAAACATCACCATGACCAGGAGTTGCCAGTGAAGGAGAAGGTAGTTGCTGTAGAAAAACGCCACGGCTGCACAAATGGACTACGAGCAAAAAAAGCAAACCAGTCACAAAAGGCAAACAGGTCACCGAGTGAAGCAGCTCCAGAGCTGAGTCAGGAGGGCAACTGCTGTCTGACCCAAAGGCTATCTGGTCCTGGCGGTAGTGATCTCTTCTCTCTGCCTCTAGACACGGACTTCCCTAGTCACTAAGCCGCCAATGTGCACCATAAGCCCCCAGTGACAGCTGGTAATAGTCAAGTAAGCGACAATCTTTGCTATTTAAAACAGGACTTTGTGAAGAACTGGAGCCCAGGCAGTCCCCGGGTTACAAACGTCCGAATTACAGACAACCTGTAGTTCCGAACCAGCCCCTGTAAAGCCTATTAGATTAAAAATTCGAGGTACATACAAAGGCTCGTTCGTAATAACCACCTGGGGCTACTTTGTGACATGCATCACAACATCACTATCATCACTGTATTGTTATGTTAAAGATGTTTTAGTGTACCTGGAAGTGCTGCTTTAATGTTTTCTATGTTTAGAAAAGTATTCTATATACTATATACACAGACATCTGACTGACGTTAGATACAAACCGTGCCTGACTGTTCCAACTTACAAATTCGACCTGCAGACAGACTTAGGTATGGAACTCATCTGTAATCTGGGGACTGCCTTACTCCAGTTTTTCACAAAGCATACACACTGGGAAATACACTCGTCTATACTATGAACGAGTGGAATTCTTGTGTCTAAGGGAGGACATTTCTAACTTAAGCCACACAGACCAGAATGTAAAATCTCTTATCCAAGTCTGTGTGTTTGGGGTGGGGAAGGAGACACGACTCATTGCTTCCTAGTTCTAATCACAAAGCTTTTTTTTTTTTTCCTTGTACTTTAGATGAAGGTTTATAGAACAAACTAGCTTCTCATTAAATAGTTAGTACACATATTGTTTTATGACGTTGGTTAACAACCCTACGACATGTCAACACTCTCCCTTCTCGACCTTGGGTTCCCTACTGTCAGCTTTCCTGTCCTCTCCTGCCTTCTAGTCCTTGTCCCTGGGCTGCTGTGCCCCTTTAGTCTCATTTTGTTTTATGGGGCTGTCTAATCTTTGGCTGAAGGGTGAACCTCGGGAGTGACTTCATTACTGAGCTAAAAGGGTGTCCGGGGGCCATACTCTCAGGATTTCGCCAGTCTCTGTCAGGCCAGTAAGTCTGGTCTTTTTTTGACTAATCACGAAGCCTTTTAAAGGATGTCCCTGACTTTCATTAAAAAAAACAATACAGAGCCCCTGGGTGGTGCAAAGAGTTAACGTGACTGGCAGCTAACCAAAACGTTGGAGGTTTGAGTTCACCCAGAGGTAGCTCGGAAGAAAGGTCTGGCAATCTACTTCTGAAAAATCAGCCAGTGGAAAAAGCCCTATGGAGTGCACTTCTACTCTGACACACATGGGGTCGCCATGAGTCGAAATCCATTTGACAGCCACTGGTTTAAATGGTCTGTAATTCATAGATTACAATCAAAGATTTGGGTCAAAAAACCCACAATGCCAGTCCAAAGAAAATAAAGCTAAAACACTAACAAAAAGGACCCTCCTTTAAACACAATCAGAAGAAAAGAGGTTACCTGCACAAACTTGAAGATTGCGAAAGCTGGCGCACTGTCTTCAGAATAGAGAAAGCCTAAAATGCTCAGCAGTTGTGTATTGAAGCAGCTGTCTCCAAGACCCAACAGAAAACTGCAAAGAATGGCAACTTCTTTGCTGGATAAGACACAGATGAAAGTCGTATGAGTATTAACAACATTTGCTAGTTATTTCAAATGTTAAAAAAAAAAAAAAGGTACCCCCCCCCATAAGAGCATTTTACCGTCAAGTTCTAAACACAATGAAACAAGAATAAATACCGGAATGCACAAAGAAAGAATTTACAGTCAAACCCACTTGCCTTCACATTCTAGAAAACTCATCTATTAACTATTTGGGAGACAAACGCTGTGTTCTGGGCGGGGCTCCCCTTGGGTTTGTGGTTCCAGACATAAACGTCCGTATCTCTAACGAATGTGAGTGCTGAGTACGTTCAGAGAGTATCAGCAAAGCCTATATAAGCAACTCAGAGATGACTAAATGGCCTGCCCAGCCGGCAAATTCTACCTTGTTCCTCTGTGTTCTTCCTCCAGGCCCCTACCTTCTGGATGTTTCACACTCAAAGAGCAGAGCTATGAGATATCAGATACTTAAGTGCTCCTTCACAGATCAAAAAAAAAAAAAAAAAAATGATTTAGTGGGAGTGGGGGGAAGGTTAACATTACAAAAATAATTTGAGATTCTCTATGGATTCCTATTTAAATTCATCCTAATTCCACCAACACTTGACAAATGACCTTATAAAAATAACAGACTTTCCAAGGAGGTTAACTGATCCATTTTAAATCTCGCTATCTGATGCCTCCCACCCTCCCGGAAATGACTAGAGAAGTGGCTGTCACTATACCTGGAAGTGATGTAAGCACTGCTATCGGTTCCTTCGACAGGAGCAATGGGGGCGTCCGCAGGCATGTTGAGGAATATTAAGTAAAAAGCTACAAAATGCACCAGGATGCCCAACAGCACAACTGGGTTTCTACCAAAGCGATTGTTCTTGCTCAGCAGGCCAAAGAGGCTTCCGCCTACAAAATCAAGATGGCGGAAACGTTACTAACCAGGAGTCGGGAGTTCTAACCAAGGAGTCAGGGAATAAACGTTCTCAAATGTTCAATGTCGTCAAGAAATCCAATGCCTCAGCACTTGGCAGAAATGATAATAATGGCCACACACCAACTACTACGGCAAAAATAAGGTAACCAAATCACTTGCATTTCTATTCATTAATGGTCTTGTATTTCTTCTCCGTGAATTACTGTACCCAAAAAGTATTCCCCCTTTGATCTACAGTGTAAAACCGAAATGAGGAAATAAAAAGGACATAATTTATCAACTGCTACACGTGGGGTCACCATGAGTCAGAATCAGCTTGATGGCAAGTGGTTTACCATGTTTCTACTATAATGCTAGTCAAAGGAACTAACGCATCATCCTAAGAGATGGATCCATTAGAAAATTTCAGAGTTAGGTGTAAGCTTCCAAAGTGGGGTAAAAAAGGCTTCCGAAGGCTCAGCGATCAAAATGGCTTAGCATGTCTCAGTGGCAATGCGGAAGCTAAAAGAAAATGGAGTATGGTTTTAAATTTTTAAGGAAAATGATCTCTACTGTAGAAATCTATACCTAACCAATGCAGAAATCAAAAGTAAAGGTTAACAGTAAAAAAACAAACAATCCACTTAGAAAATGGGCGGAAGACATGCAAAGAGTTTCACCAGAGAGGACATACAGGGGCAAATAACACATGAAAAGATACTCGACATCATTAGCCATTAGAGAAATGCAAATTAAAACTACAACGATGTCACTACAAACCTACCTGAACGGCTAAAATGAAAAACAGTAATAACACCGAACGCTGGAGAGAATTTGGAGAAAATGGATCACTTGTGAATTGCTAGCAGGAATGTAAAACGGTACAACCACTCCGGAAAATAGTTAGGCCGTTCCTTGTAAAGCTAAAAACGGACTTACCAGGCGACCCAGCAATTGCACTCTTGGACACTTATCCCCGAGAAATGAAGACTTATTTTCAAATAGGAACTTGTACGTGAATGTTCAAAGCAGCTTTATTCATAATAGTCCAAAACTAGCAACTCCCTAAATGTCCTTCAAAGGGTGGAATGAAGTACTGATACAATGACTTAGACGAACCTCGAGGAAATTAGGCTGAGTGATAAAAGTCAACCTCAAAAGAACACATATGTAACAACTGTGAACCAGCATAATTACAGAGATGGAGAATGGACAGTGGTTGCCAGGGTTAGGGATGGGGCAGGGGCAGGTGTGGCTATAAAGCTAACGCAGAGTCTTGTGATGGCACCACTGAAATCTTGATCGTGGTGGTGGTTACGCAAGGCTAGCCATGTGACAGAACCGCACACACGAGTGACGACGTGCAAAAATGACGAAATCTGAGTAAGATCTACGGGTTGGACCAACACCAATTTCTAGGCTTGGACATCATGCTGTGGATGTGTGGGGTGTTGGAGCAGGACCAGGGCTGGGTGAGGGGTGCATGGGACTTCCCTCCACGTTTCTTTGCGACCTCCTATGAACCTGTAATTATTTCAAAAGAAATGTTTTCTTTTTTTTAAAAAATGAAGGTCAAATGACAACATTGTTAGACATGCACAGACTCAAAACTTCCCTCCCACACGCTTCTCCTGCAAATGCTACTAGCGAATATGCTCCACCCACACAAGGGCGTAAAGCAAGGAGAGAGGAGACGTGGAACAGAAAACACGGGCTCCACACAGACGGGAGGTGAAGGATGCAGCAGAGGGCTCGCCAAGATAACGAGCAGTGGGTGAAGAGGGTGGCCAGCTGGGAGGGGTGCAGGGCGACTCACGACAGACACGGTGAGCGGCATCACCCCCAAGCCCTCCGCCACCTGTAACAGAGAGACTGGCAGCTGCGCTCCCACAAAATTAAGATGTCTTAGTGTGGCTGTAACAGAAACACCACAAGTGGCTGGCTTTAACAAACAGAGATCTATTTTCTCACAGTTCAGAAGGCTAGAAGTTCGAATTCAGGGTGCCGGCGCTAGGGGAAGGCTTTCTCACCCTCTTTGTTGGCTCTGGGGGAAGGCCCTTGTCTCTTCAGCTTCTGTTTCCTTGCTTCCTTAGAGATCTCACGTGGCGTGGCATCTATCATCCCTCATCTGTGCTTGCTTGCCTCCTCTCTTAATCTGTTCCTTTTTCATCTCAAAAGAGATGGATTCAAAATACACCCTACGCTAATACTCTCCATTAACATAACAAAGAAAACCCGCTGCCAAATGGGATTATAACCACAAGTATAAAACCTGTTGCCACCAAGTCAACTCCGACTCACAGCAACCCTAGAGGACAGAGCAGAACTGCCCCAGAGGGTTTCCAAGGCTGTAGTCTTTATGGGAGCCGACTGCCCCGTCTTTCTCCCAGGCGAGTGCCCCAACCTGCCTCCTCAATTCCTTCCTGTGAACTGCTGTTTGCAGCAACATCTCCGGCTACATGTCTGTGGAAAGCACCGAAAGCAAGCGAGGCTGGAGGCAGGGAGGCCGTAGTCCAGAGAACGAGAGACCTCAGAAATGAGGCAGAGTGATTATTTCCTCCTGGTCAGAGCCCACCGCCCGCCCACAGAGTCCAGGTCCTGCCTCAGGGAGGCCATCTTGGAGAAGCCTCCTGCAAGCTGCAACCAATATCACCGACACCACTCAGGCTGCCTTGGGGTGCGACTTTACTTTTTTTTTGATTAGCAGCCAAGCACGTTAACTCTCTGCACCACCCAGGGACTCCTGTACATATGTTGCTGTTATCAGGTGCCACTGAGTCGGTTCCAACTCATGGAGACCCTACATACAATAGAATGAAACCCTGCCCGGTCCTGCGCCATCCTCACAATCGTTGTTATGTTTGAGCCCATTGTTGCAGCCACTGTCAATCTATCTTGTTAAGGGTCTTCCTCTTTTTCGCGGACCCTCTACTTTACCAAGCATGATATCCTTCTCCAGGGACTGATCATATGGTAGGTGTTTAATACTTATCTAATCTGAATGTAAAGAATGGAATTCACACTCCTAAGTAAAAATATATGCAAAATTTGTATTAAAATCCTGAAGTTTCAAATTCATTATCTGACACAGATAAATTAGATTTTCTCATTATTACATTATAATACGACTATCATTCACGTGGGGAGCCCTGGTGGCACAGTGGTTAAAGCTCTCGGCTGCTAACCGAAAGGTGTGCGGCTCATACCCACCAGTCGCTCCGCAGGAGACAGATGTGGCAGACTGCTTCCGTAAAGATTTACGGCCTTGGAAACCCCATGGGGCAGTTCTACTCTGTCCTACATGGTTGCCAGGAGTCGGGATCGACTCGATGGCAGTGGGTTTGGTTTTTCTCGTTTCATTCAGGTGAAACCGTTCACACATCACACAGACACTGAAGAGCAGGCTAAAGAAAAGGGCAGCTGTGGGCCTGGAGCAGCCGCTCTGTGCCCTGCACACCTCTGTCCTCTGGCCTGGCGTGTACTGAGATGTCATCAGATGCTGAGGCGGGGGGGCCTGCTGTTAGTCTCTCAAGACTGGAAGGGAACAAACACTCCGAGGACACAGTGGTCAGGCATACAGGCAAGTCCCCAACTTACGACGTATTCCAGTTATAACAAACCGCACGTACAACCGTCTGGTTTTTTTTTTGACATCTTATCGTTAGGAACACGTACTATACACAGCGTTGCAGTGCATAATTTGCTGATGTTATCATTCTCAGATGTTCACTCAACGTTATGACCTACTGTTCAAAACACTGCTGTATAGCAGGCAATAATGAAAACTTAAAAAAAAAAAAAAAGAGGTATTCGATTTCCATCAGAACCGACTTACGACGGAGTCGCCAGAATGGAACCCCAGAATGGAACCCCGTCGTAAGTCGAGGATTACCTATGATGGGGCTGATTCCATGAAGCCAAAATTTCGGAGTTAAGTGTAAAGAACCGCACACGGATCTAAGACGTTGAACACACAGAGATGAGGAAAACAGAGGACGACAGCCTAACAGTCGAGCATGAATCCGGGTGCGATTAGCCAACGGGAGGGCCCCGAACGCTGTCCAAGAAGCTGGTCCACTTTCGCTGTGTCAGCAGAAACTCAGCACCAGGAGTCAGGGAGGCCACAGCCCCTCGGCCTCCGCACGGCCGAGACGAGGCATGGAACACGACCTCGGTGTCGAGAACCACACTTTGACAGAGACAAACAAGCTGGCAAGTGTCAGGAGGGCAGCGACAGGAGTGATTTGCTGGGAGAGAAGATGAGTTGGCAGGGCTGTAACAACTCTTCACACATCAGAAGGGCCGTCCTAGATGAGAATTACACTTGTTCTGTGTTAGAGCCAAAAATAGCCAGAAAAAGTAGATGAACGTGACATGAAAGATCACGATTAGGGAGCATTTCCTAACAATTCAAACAACGCAAGAGTGAACAGGCTGCTAAACACCTGTATCAATAAAAACACAAGAACCAAAAATAAATTCTCAACTCAAGAAACTAGAAAAAGAATAACAAAGTAGACCCCCAAAAGAAGCACAGAAAAGGAAATAATAAGAGCAGATATTCATGAAGTAGGGGACTCAAAAATGTAGATCAAGTTAATAAATCAAAATCCCGGTTCTTCGGAAAAAGTAAATAAGATAAACCACAGCTAATTTAACCAAGGGGGAATAAAGGAACAAGAATACAAAATGAGGAATGACGGGGGGAGTAACTATTGAAACAGGAAACTTTTAAAAACCAGTTCAGACTTCCAGAAGTTGGAGTAATAGGGGTTGAATCACCCTCCTGCCTAAAAAAAATGTAGAAAAGGTGTGAAACAGCGGGTGTCAGGTGACAAAGGACAGTGATCCCCGAGAGATGGAGGACAAGCAAGGGCAGCCCCGTAACTGGCCGGCTTGCTGTTTTGACACAGGCTGCAGGCCACAGCGCAGGGAGCCCCGTGGACTCCGAGGTGAAAAGAGACAGCCCCGAGCTGGGGGATACCGAGAAGGCTAGAGTTCACAGGACAGAGTTTCTGACGGAGAGCGGCACAGAGACTGTTCCAGAGATAGGCAGAGGGCCCCCGAGTCTTCAGCCGAGCAGTAACCAGTGCACACATGTAAGCCAGCACTGCACACATGAAGGAACCACCCGAGAGGATTAGGTAAGAGGCAGCGACTGGGCCTCACCCTGTGCTGGGAAGAGTGACTGGTCCCACCAGCCAGACTGGAAACCCTCATGATTCACAGAGCGCTGGGTGGAGTCCACACAAGGGTTCTCCCTCAGCAGCGGAGTAATCAGTCTCTGACTGAGCACCACTCTGATCCCACCCAGCAAATTTTAAAAGCAAGACCTGAGAGGATCATACTGTC